AATGTCAAACTTTTTCTTTGGAACAAAATAAATGGTTGAGTATTGTCATTTATCATTCGTTGTAAATATACTATCTATGCTAAATCTTGATAAGCGTCCCACTGTCTAACTTCTTAATTTTTAAAATAGGTGAGTAATTAATTTCTGAGCTTGGTGTATTTCCTCTGTAGGAGATCATTTGCATACTTAGCTTTCGATACTGAAAGAAATCCTAGAAGCTAACCCTCAAAAGCTGTAGACTTTGCCTAGATAAACATCTGCTGTTTAAACAGTGTTTTGAACTGCAGAGCTACCATTTAAATACCCTTAAGTCTTTCCTTTTTTGTAACTGAGTGGTTGGGGAGATGGAAAAGAATTGTAAAAAATAGTCACCTCTCTCTCTCTCTTTCATCCTTTACAAAGCTGGAGTTCCCACACGGGACACGCCTTCCCCATACAGTCACTCTGAGAATTGAAGGTGAGAAGAGATTGAAAAGCACTTCAAATTCTCAAGGGGCTATAGAACAGGAGGGTTGGTTTCTTTCGTTGCTTAATCACTCTTCGAGTGCTTTCCTGGTTCAGGTTTTTAAAAGTTATATCTGCTCTGTATTTGTAATGACTCACTGGGAACAAATACTGGTTATTTCCCAAATAATATAAATTTAATAAATTTTTTAAAAATTAGGTTTACTCATCATTCATTCATTTAACCAGTAATTCTTGAGCACTTAATATAGACCGTGCCCTGGGAATACAAGAGTGAACAAGAGTCAGTCGTCATATTGGTTCTCACGAAACTTACATCCCACTAGGAGGAATAGACACTGACAGAGTCATCCAGATTGCAATGATTACTGTGGTCAGGGAGGGCCTCCTGGAGGAAGTGGCATTTGCGTTAAGGCCTGAAGGATGAGAATGGGTCATACATGGAAGAGCTGAGGAAGAATATTCCAGGCAGAGCTTAGCAAAAGGAAAGGCCTGGAGGCTAGAAATAGAAAGAAACCAACGTGACTATAGGGTGGTAGGTAAGGTGGAGAGCAGAGCATGAGTGGAATCTGGACCAGAACAGGCCACATTTCAAATGGGAATGTGGTTCATTCCTGAGGAAGCATCCCAAATGGAGCACTCCTATGCTTCCATGACATAAAACTGGGTGATCTGCCCCAGATTCCTGTATGGGCGAGTGTTGATGGTACATTGATGCTTGTAAAGGCTAGGTAACCAGCCCACGGAGCACCAGTGTCCACTGGTCACCTTTCCCTGCATCAACTCTTGGGGTGGGTAGGCGGGTGGGTGACCCAAGGCCAGTTGGTCAGGCCGGGAGTTGGCCCAGGAAGAAAGGAATGTTAATTCACCCACTTTTCTCCTGACTTCAATACATAGGGCTCTTCCTGGTAAAGCAGGGTCTACCAGAGATATGGTTTATGGCGGGCACCTGGCTATACCAAGAGAAGACCTTTGGCTCCTGGGGCCATCAAGCTCACTCCACAGACAGCCACAGGAGAGGATGGGCCTCCAGCACTTCAGAGAACCTGGCAGCTGATGATTCCAGGTTCCCCATTCCCCACCCCTCTGTACAGAGGCCTGCGCTGAATAGCCAGAAGGGTAATGGGAGAAGAGACACTTGGGCCACCAACTCCTAGTTCTACCCTTCCCAACAGGGGAAGATAGCTGATGGTGTCTTCTGAAAATGAGGAATGCAGTGTGTGAGCTACACCGGGGTGGCAAACTTTTTCTGTAAAGGGCCAGACCGTAAATAATTTGGGCTTTACCAGCTACGTGCAGTCTCTGTCACACATTTTTCTTTGTTAACTATTTTTTTAACAACACTTCAAAAAGGTTGAAAACTGTACTTAGGTTGTAGGCCTTACACTGGATCTGGCCAAGTAGCTTAGAGTTTGTTGACCCCTAAACTAGACGTTACGCTGACGCCCTTCAAATTGAGGCTACTTAAGCACTGAGTAAACACTTCTTTTAATCTTTACAAGAAATCTCTGAGGGAGGCCTGTACCACAACCTCGCCCCTCTCCCCGTTTTCCACATCCTTATCCTTATCTTACAGTCTGGACATCGAAGCTTGGGTAGGGAGACCAAGGCGCCCAAGGCCATGTGGCTAACAAGTGATAGAAGCAAGATTTGAACCCAGGCAGCCTGATTCCAGGGTCACTGGTCTTACCCACTACGCTATACTACCTCCCACTAGTGACTAGAGACATGGCTTTGAACAGGTCCGTTCTCTTTCTGGGTAGAGCCCCCTCTGGACAGTCAGAGGGGTGGCATCATGTTTCGCTCAGTCGGGGAGGCATGCCTGGTGGTACGTGAAATGCTTTCCGTGGTTCACACAGCATTAACTAACATTGACTCACATCGTGAGAAGATGATGGCCTTTTCAGGTCTCTTTTAAGTCTCCCAATGATGTCAGGGGAAAAGGTTCAGTCTGATGCTACCATATCTTTCACACCTCTCCAGCACATGCTAATTTCCATTTTATCAGAGCTTTCCATTTTTCCTGAGCTTCAAGGCTCAGACTCTTCAGTAGACAGTAATAGCTAGCTAGAATTTAGTACTGCTATTGTATTTTGATTGTTACTTTCTATTGTTGCTTTCGTAGCTTTATTTTTATTGCTTTTATGATTATTTTCTATTTATGCAAAGTGTTGGTGTCGCTATTGCTGCAATTCTCTTGTCTATTCCTTCGTAGTTGTAAGATTGCTGCTGAAGCTCCTGCTATCACACCTATGCCCAAATTGAAATAAGGTGAAAGAGCAGGTTTCAGCTACCTTTGTCTCCTATTACCAGGAAAGCAAAGGAACTCTACAGACATTGCATTGGTCAGAACACATCAGATGGCCACCTGCAGCAGCAAGACAGGCTGAAAAAGTGGGTGTTTGACTGGGCACCGTGCTGCCCTGAACTAATTAGGGTTCTATCAACAAGAAAAGGGCATAGATACTGGACCCCATAATAAAAGTGTTTGCCGTAGGCTGGGGGGCCTTCGAACTTTCTCCTTAGAGCCTGCAAGGGACAGGCATGAAGTCAGAACTGCGGGGGAATTCGGGGACTTTAGCAAAAAGCCGATTCCTTTTTACCTTGTTTGCCACCAAGATGCTCCCCTTCCCCTTAGAGCAGCCAAACAGCAAGGACCCATCATCACTCCTAAGGAGCAACATGCACTGGGAACACCAACCTTGCCACACACTCTTGCAGCAGTAGTGGGAAAGTCTTACAGCATTGTCCCTGTTGGCTGCTATGGCTCAAAATGCTGAGCAGAAGAACCGCTCCCCCCCCCCTTTTCAGTTTCTAGTGAATAGAAGATATATCTTCTTAAGTGCACCCACCTCCAAATGTGTACTCTAGAAACCAGATTTGAAACCTTATAAAATCTCGGTTTATGAGCACCTTTCTTACTATAAAAACTATTTTTCAAATTAATGTTTTAATTCAACATGCGTTTAGTGATAGCCCCCTTTTCCCCAGGCAGCTTCCCAAGCCCTGGGGATATAGGGAAAAACTAGACCCACAAGGCCCACAGGGCGTGTATCCCGGTAGGAGAGGCAGACGAAAAACACAGAGAGGCAGAAGAGCAGGAAGATTAGGAGCTGGACCCAGCAGCCAGACTTCTGGGTTTGAATACAAATTTTGTTTCTTTCCGGCAGTGTGGCTTTGGCCAAATCACCTGCCCCTCTGTGCCTCAGTTTCCTCATCTGTAAAATAATGAGGAAAATCACAGTACTTACCTCAGAGGGCTACATGAGACTGCTTTCTGGTTCACAGTGATAAGAACAGACCCATCAAAGGGCCGGGAAGCTAAGATACAGACGGTATTTTAAAAGGTAAAAAATAGGCATGACAAATTAGTACCTACCTCATTTGGTGGTAGTACGTATTACATGGTTTAATTCTCATAAAGTGCTTTGTTTTTTTTTTAAAGATTTTATTTTTTTTTTTTCCTTTTTCTCCCCAAAGCCCCCCGGTACATAGTTGTGTATTCTTCGTTGTGGGTTCTTCTAGTTGTGGCATGTGGGACGCCGCCTCAGCGTGGTCTGATGAGCAGTGCCATGTCTGCGCCCAGGATTCGAACTAACGAAACACTGGGCCGCCTGCAGCGGAGCGCGCGAACTTAACCACTCGGCCACGGGGCCAGCCCCTCTCATAAAGTGCTTTGAATTGTGACTGGTGTGTAGCAGGTGCTCAATAAATGTTAGCTATTATCCTATCTCAATCACTGAGTTTTTACTTGATGTTGCACAGTTCTATGTAAGTTCCCTAAGAATGTTAATGAACCCTTGAGGCCATTTTTACCGGGCTATTGCTGCATTCTTGTGCTTACAATTGAAGAGTCCCTCCTTCGGACACCTGTTCAAAGGAATACTTGCACAAAGATGCATTTGTATGACGTGGAGAATCTGGCCCAGGCATGAAAGACATTGTTAAGACTGGGAAATAAAGTACAGTAACATTGAGGTTGCAATGACTGACTGAGCTTGCAAAGACTGACGTTGCAAAAACCCTGACAGGCAGAATAGCTAAGGAAGCTGTACTATGTCTCATCTCCTGCCCCCCTCCCGCATGTCCCCCTCTCCCCCTCCATGGCCTTCTTCTCTGGAACACCTGTGACTGGCTATTATGTCAGCATTTCCAATAAAGTAAAAAAGGGAAAATACAGCCCTGGGCTTTCATGGAAAGTATTCTAACTCTCACAACCAGAATCTCTGCCTTAAAAAAAAAATTTTGGTTTTAAGATCTTTAACTTTTCCTGCAGCATCTCAGCACCCACCTTTTTGAAAAGCATCTTTTCTGAGGAATGATATTTCCTGGCACGATGTAACATAGTCTTTGCCAAGTGACTCAATTTGATATGTATAGATATATATTTTTCAATGTCAAGAGGCCCAAAATTACAGAGAAAAAGTGGGCACTTGGTATCAGTTTGATATCAGGGTTTTTCCATGTTTGCCAGGGGGCTTTAAATATGACTTGATCTGAGGCATCCACAGGCAGAGTCCCAGTCCTGTGTCAAGATGCTTCTGGTCGTGGTCCTTGCTTCTGCCCTCCTCCTCTGCTCTGTGGCTGGCCAGGGGTGCTCCACCATGGCAGGAATCATGGATGTCAAGTACCTCATCGACAACCTACAGGTAAGCTTCAGAGAGGGTGCCGGCGGGAAAGGCAGCTATCGGAAATGTAATTGAAATATAAGAGGATGAAAAACGCACCACCTACTATGGGTTCTTGTCTCTCTACTTACTTTAGGAGCACCCACCTTCAAAATGCAGCTGCAGCACCAATGTGAGTAAATGCTCTTTTAAAAACTTTCCAAACTAATTTTAATTTTCTCATCTAGAATCTTCACTCTGGAATTTCTCTTTTGCAGGTGACCGATTGTTTGTGTCTGCCCATTCCTTCTGTGAGTAGAATAAAATAATATAATCTTGTTTTTTAAACGTTTTTAAGGAAAAATAAATTGCCCTATTTGATATTTTAAATAAGAAAGTATTACTTACTTGCAATTGTTACAGATTAGTGTTTCCTTTTAAGACCAGGCTCCTGAAATTCTATACTATATACATGTCTTTGTATTTAGTCAATCTTATGCTCCTTGAGAAGTTTGAACACTTTTCAATATTTAGGAAAGAATCTTGAACGTGTTTTTGACTAGTGGTCTTGAATGGAATCAAACCGGAACTGAGAATATAACAAGTGATACAGCTCACATCACGCTACTTTCTAACCCATTTGCCAGTAACTCCAGGGTTGCAAAACATTGTGAAGAAAATGACAACTCTCTGTCCTTCTTCTGGCGTAAACTATGTGCCATGCCTTCTTTCTCCCTCCCTCCCTTCCTTCCCATTCTTTTATTTAGCTGTTTCAGTGTGGCTCTTGCATGGTCTGAACGCTGTCCTCTGGCAGGAGAGGGTGTCTGAGGGTGTGGGTCAAGGGGAAGTGAAAGGGTTTCCGGGCGGTCATTGCCCTCCTTGGCAGAGAGGAAGCGAGGCAGGAACTTCCCGGTTGAGGCGAGGAGGAAGAACTGAGCTTTACCTGTGCTGAGCTTTGCTCTCTCACAAGCAAGGCCTGGCAGAATCTGAGCTTTTCACTCCAGCTGAGGTCAGACATCACACTCTGTTGCCTTCTGAGGAGGATCCACGCATTTAAAGCTCAGCCCAGCCTCTCGGTTTCTATTCTGTGATTTTAGCTTCTGCTGAAACATTGGCTGTATTCAACTGGCACATCCCATTAGGCTGGTGTGAAAAGGCTTTTCCTTTCTCTGTACTTTCAAACTCAGTGTTCCAAGACTTGAAACAGGAGAGCATCGCTTGAAAAGGAGACTCAGAGCTGGCTGTTTGCCAGGCCCACAGGCCTCAGGTTCCCTGATGGAACATGGTGGAAATCTCCAGGGAGTGTCACTGTGGAAAAATGGCCTCACCTTGAAATAGGAAGGGTCATTTCCTAGACTGGCAAGGGGCCTCTCTAAAATTAATGCAAGTTTAGATTACGTTGGTTAAATTAAAATTGTATCTAAAAGCATTCTCTTTGTGATTCCTTCTCAAAGCTGTCTCTGAGTGTTTCCTTTCATAAATCCTTATTATTTACCAGGACGACTGCACCACAGCATGCTTCCAGGAGGGTCTGTCACAGATGACCAACACCACAGTGAAAACAAGATTCGCCCTGATTTTCAACCGGGTGAAAAAAACAGTTGCAGCCCTAAAGAACAACAAGTGTCAGGTGAGCTTGTTCTCATCCGTGATATGTTCTGGTTGGTTATTTTTGTGTGAATGTCAATGCTGACTCTCTCTGAACGAGAAAGGATAATACAGTTGGAATTGGTAGTTCAAGATTGATAAGGGGCATCTAAGAATTTGAATCAGAACAGTGAAATTAAAGTGAGATCTGTGCCAATAGTCTATTGCTCCCCTTGGTTTTAGAAAACACTCACACCCATATGGCCATTTACTTCTCTCCATCTGCTGAACAGTGAAAGAATCTGCCCTGACTTTAATTAAAAGTGAAAATCTAGAGAATCAGGGCTATAGCTCACACAATACTAAGTTGTCCTAGAGATTCGATTGGTTAGCTGGGTGAATGTGGTACCCTGTAAGTTAAAGATTTTTTTGCTTGGCTAAGAAGGGGTTTAAAGGAAAATGCAGCGAGATCCAGGTGGAAGTTCGCCCTTTGCCCTAAATGCCCATCATCATATACCTCAGTCCATGGAGGGAGGGCGAGAGGGTGGACTCTGAGCATTCATGTCCCTGCAGGAGACCACGGGAGGGAGAGTTCACTCAGCTAACAGCATGTGCTTCTGCAGCCACAGCGCGGAGTTCTAAGTGCTTAGTATATGCCGTTTTCCTGAATACCCACCTTAAAGACAATTGTTAGACTTATCACTTTGTACAGGAGGAAACTGAGGGCTCAGCGAGGTTAACCAATTTGCTTGAGGCTACGTATTTAATAAGTGGCAGAGTTAAGATTTGAAGTCTGGTCTATGTGGCCCCAAAGTCCCGCTCTTAGCCATCGTGCTTGGAAGGACAACCGAAAAGGATAATAACAAAATTTCTAGCTTTAAAGAGTCCCAAGAAAAGGTTTCCTCTAATGAGGAGATTTAGGGCCATTTGATACATCTAAGTGTGTGTGTGTGTGTGTGTGTGTGTGTGTGTGTTTTCAGGACCCATGAAATCCTACCACAAAGTCAACCCACCCACTCTGTCCATACAAAATGCTAGCCTGGGACCTCCCCGTCCACTTGCTCTATGTCTCAAGCCCCCTGCTGCTTGCACACCTCGCTCCCCATGGCCTACCCACCCCCTCCACCGCGCTCTGGGCAAGGGGGTCCCGGGGCTGCTGGGTTCCATACTGTTTTAGTTACTTCGTTGACTTTTATCCCCTTTACAGTTGTTTTCCTGTGAACAGCCATGCAACCAAACCACAAGAGGCAACACAGTGACATTTCTGAAGAGTCTTCTGGAAATTTTCCAGAAAAAAAGGATCAGAGATGCAGAGACCCAGATAGGCAGAGTATGAAGAGGAAATATTATTTATTTTATTTATTGAATTTAAAAAACCTCCTCTTTAAGTTGTTACAATTAAAAAGTCGAGTAAGCCATGATAAGTTAAAATCAGTTGTAATAATTTGTTTAAAATTTTATGTCTTTATTTTGGAATAAATATATATGGGAAGAAAAGCACAAAACCTGGTGTCTAGGGGCTTATTTGCGCCTTGCTGCTCAGATCACAGAAAGCTACAAACTCGGTCAATGGGCTGAACGGGTCCAATATTCCTGTGATAACAATAGGATGTGTTATCCTGAATACTGCCTAGAAGCCTCACGAGCTGTGTCTGGGGCTGTCGGGGTGCAGTTATGAAGGGGCTGGTGGGGACAGTCTGAGGGTTGCTACCTCAGGGGGCTAAAGGGTATGCCCGAGGTGCCCTCCCTGTGGGCTCTGAGGGAGGGAGGCTCAGGGCACTGCCAAGGCGTTTGGGGTCCTGAAACCAACTCTACCTGAAATGGGAGAAGGCTTTAAATTATAAGCCCAGGAGGTGGGAGACTGCTCAAGAACGTGCTCGCGTTCCCAGAGGAGAGAGGAAAGTGCTTGAGGCCAAACCAGAAGGTCACAGAGCAGACTCTTTGGGTCAGAGCACAAAGCAGAGAACCACTGGGATGGATCCAGTTGTCTCTTCACTTGAAAGAAGCTCAGCCAGTGCCCACCACGTGCCAGATGGAGTGCCTGGCTGGCGTGCAGAGCCTCGTGGTGGATATACCCACGGGATCCTTGAACTAAGTGTTCTGGCTGACATAGTGTGGCTGTAGCTATCTGTGACAGCTAATTTTGTGTGTCAACTTGACCAGACCCCAGGGTGCGCAGATATGTGACTGAACATTATTTCTGAGTGTGTCTGGAGGGGGTTCCTGGGCGAGATTAGTATTTGAATCGGTAGACCCAGTGAAGTGGATGCTCTCCCCAGTGCAGGCGGGCCTCATCCAATCCATTGAGGGCTGAATGGAACAAAAGGCAGGGGAAGAACTGGCCTTCAGCCTGACACTTGAGCTGGGACCTGGCTCTTCTCCTACACTCAGACTGAGACTGACACCATGCGCTCCCCTGGTCCTCAGGCTTTCGGACTTGGATCAGAACTATACCACAGGCTTTTCTGGGCCTCTAGTTTGTAGACAGCAGACTGTGGGACTTCTCAGCCTCCATACTTACATGAGCCAATTCCTTATAGTAAATCTGTCTATCTATCTATCATCTATCCATCCATCCTATTAGTTCTATTTCTCTGGAGAACCCTGACTCATAAACTAGCCATCTCACCTAAATACTCAACCTGCCTGCCACCCCCAGTATTTCTGATCCTGGCTTCTGTTCCACAGTACTTAGCACCTTCTAAGATGCTCTCCCATTTTTTAATTTATCATGTTTGCTGTTTACCGCCTGTCTCTCCCTTCTCAAATGCTAGTGCCCCGAGGGCAAAGAACTTTGTTTTGCTCACTGTTGTGTCCTAAATGCCGGTCCTGAGCCTATGCTACTCCTATACCAGAGGAGGTGCTCTATAAATATTGACCGAATGGATGAAAAGCCTTTGAGATGCAAAAGCAAAGTATGAAGTGGTGGGTAGGTCAGGATCGTGCTCGCCTGGAGAAGGGGTGGTACCCAGATGTACTATCTGTGCTCAGAAAGGTGAGGTCCCTTCAAATACCTCCAGGCAGGCCGCAAGGCTGGGATTCCCATGACCAGCCCACTTGGGAGGGGACAGCCTGCTAGGAAGCATCCTGCTTGGCATCCCTGGCTCTGTGTGACGGGCAGGGTGGAGGCAGGGTTAAGGTGAAGGTCTTGGGGTTGGTCTGACAGTCAGAATGGCCCTCTCCCCGACTGCCTGAAGACTCAGAGGCTCGGAAAGAACTTAGAGGAATCTACCATGGGGAGTATTTTTTTAGGTACTAATAAGATTCGAATTGTTTTCCCTCCCTGTTGGGCTAGACCAGCCTTTTGATCACAATAATATGTAAAGTTCAGAGCACCAAGAGACAGAGTTCCTCAAAGGGATTTGCTTGGCTTTTATCTTTTACCAGTTACAACGTCAAGCAATATCCAACGGGACTTGCACTGCGCACAGCTGTTGGCCCAAGGTAGAGTCTCTGAGGATCACGTAGCCCGGTCCTTGGAGTTGTGCGGCTCCTGCATTGATGGGGATGGGCACAGGTTTCACCCTCGGCCTGCAGACAAGTCCCTCTCACATAAGAGAGGTGAAGCAGGAGTTTTAGCAAAGGGGGCCCATGTCAGGGGAGCATTTTATTATCTTCTTGGGTGCAGAAATTGTGGGTTCATGGGCACATCTAATCATAATTTTTTAAGTCTTCATTTGGACAGAAAGAGACAAGTTTCTCGGTGATTAATTTCCAGTGACACGTAAATCTAAGAACAAGTTGGATTCCCAAGTCAAGACGCTTTCAGAAAGGGACCACTGGTTGAACCTTTGTCCTCCCTTAGCACTGAAGGCCACCAAGCATTTTGCAGGGGACAGAAACCTTGAGACAAATAGACAATAGTCATAGTCCGCTCACCCATCTGTTTCCCGAGAGAGGTGAAAACCATTATGTGGCAGCCGTGGGTGGTCGGGGTGGGGCAAGGTTCTATCAAGGAGGTTTTCTGAGGATCTCCCATGACAGTGGGTGTGAGAATTCGTGTTCCAACTATTATTGTTTTTATTAGTATCTCCCAGCATCCGCAAATGATTTCTTCCCCGAGACTCAAACTCTGACCTCTAAGTATCCTCAGTGCCCTCCCATCTCATGCACAGGGCTCCCAGGGCTAGCATCCTGACCCTGCACGGTGCACTGAACGCCATATCCAGGTGTGGCTGTCTTGCCTGGCTACCTAGCTGCTCTCTGGATTCCCATGGACAAGGTGCCGAGAAAAAGGTCTATCAAATACTAATATATTTATTATTGTGTATTAATATTAATCATGTAATTACTAAGCCCTTACTCTGTATATACTAAGCGTGCATTATCTCATTTAATCCCCTAATAAACCGTGGGAGGTGGGTACATAGTATTTCTGTTGTACAGAGAAGGAAATCAAAGCTCAAGTAGGGAGACTGACTCTCCCGAGGTCCGTAGTTGGTGAGGGTGAGAGCAGGAGTCCAAGCCCAGCTGTCTCTGATTCCAAGCCCTTTGCTCTTTCCTTTCTGCTCTTTTCCTTTCTTTTTTTTTTTTTTTTTGATTAACTACTTAACCCCGAGCTAACTACTGCCAATACTCCTCTTTTTTCTAAGGAAGACTGGCCCTGAGCTAACATTCGTGCCCATCTTCCTCTACTCTATATGTGGGATGCCTACCACAGCATGGCTTTATGCTAAGCGGTGCCATGTCTGTACCCGGGATCCAAACTGGCGAACCCTGGGCTGCAGAGAAGCAGAACATGCGAACTTAACTGCTGCACCACCAGGCTGGCCCCTTCTGCTCTTTTCTTATTCTGTGTGTATCAGGTGTGGATGTTGTGTTTCCTCTGACTACAGCCTGAGGGTAAAATCAATTCATGATAATACAGGTCCGCACTCCCTTATCCAAAAACCCGGGGGCCAGATAGTTTTCAGAATTCCAACTCTTCCGCCTTGTGGAGAGAGAGCACACAGTTCATGCACCATATATTACATAACACCCAGAGCAGAGCCTGGGGCCGATGCTGTAATTGAACACATTAATATTCTGCAGAAAAACACGTGAGTAGTTGCATGAGGGAGGTAGGTTTGGCAACCAGATGAGTTTCAACAAATCTTGGGCTTTCCTAGCTGTTTGGATTTTATTTTACTAGATGGCAATAAGGGATTAGCTAGTATTTCTCTAGCTCTGGCCCCGCTTACAGAAGGCAGGCACTCTCTCCCAAGGGCTTATCTGGGGCCGTGCTGGGCATCCCCAGGTAGGACAGAGACATCTATAGCTCCCTGGATTGTCTGCCACATGGTGTCCCAGGTGGCAGCAGCAGGGCCTTCTCTTCTCCTTTCCTCCATCTGGGTTTTCTGAATGCCTATCCCCAGACACAGAGCTGCGTCACTTTACACAACGTGGTTTACAGCCTGCAGCATCAGAAGCCGCCACCTCAGCAATGCTCAGCCAGCATGGGGATCACAGCAAGGGCAGATGCTGGTGGTTGGTGATGGTTTCGGAACAGTCTGGGAGCACAGTTGGCTGCCAGAGGAGATAGGCAGAGAGATGAGCTGCAACCCACTGCCACAGATTAGTCAGCAGCCCAGCCTGGTGGTTTCCCTTGGCTTTTCTGCAAAAGTAGCCTTACCCACAGGATACACCCTTGCAGGCAAGCTCAAAACAGGATTCTCAGGGCCTGGGGTGAGGTGCACTGTAATTACTCTCCTCCCTGTGCTGGGAGAGTTGAGATTTGTCTGGAAGGCACATTGGAGAAAGGAGAAGAAGCAGTCACATTTACTGGATGTTTACTGTGCACCAGGCACTCTGTTAAGCATGTTTTGTGGAATATCTGGTTGGATCTTCACAACAATCCACGAGGCAGGTCTATAATTATGGTGTTTAATTATTCCCAGCACACAGATGAGGAAACCGAGGCCCAGGGAGGTTACATAACTTGCCCAGGGGACACTTTACAAGTGGTAAAGTCAACATTCCAGGTAACTAACTCTAGAGCCACATTCTTACATCTGACCAACAGGAGGGTGTCAGGTCTCAACACACCAGCTGCCTTGTCCAGGTTCCAGGCCCCAGGCAGAGTTGCTTCCAGGAGATTCCAGTCCAGGGCACTCTATCACCTGCCAAAGCCAAGCCCAGATGCTGCTGGCCTTAACGTTGACCAATCCACATCCATCTGTCTCTATCTGCCCACCCACCCAATTTGAAGCAGGAAGATATTGTGAAGTCTCAACCTTGCAATTCCTTTCCTACCCTGCTCCCCGCTCATTCACCTCAGACCAACACCTCTCTTCCTCTGGAAAGGGAGTGCTCAGCAGAAACACAAAGACCATTCGCCCATTTAAAGTGTACAATGCA